GCCATGGCAAAGTAAATACTTCTATGGACTGGCCCTAACTTTAATTCGGACCCTATCTTCTCTGCAACCTAGTGTACTACCAGCTGTACTAAGGGTAGCCCCCTTTTCCGTGGTCTTCCTGGGGTGAGGTGGCTGACAAATAACCGTTCACCACCGACGTTTCGCGGCTTCAAGACTTCGGCCAATCGAATTAAGGATCCTTTTTAAAAGGGCAGTGAAAGAGAATGGAATACAGCAACTCAAGACCATCATCATCATCATCATCATCATCATCGTCATAGTCAGCAGTGTTATCCATAACAGTATCAATAGCAACGACAATACCACCGCCGTAAACATCATCGGCCTCTCGGCAGTCTTCAGTCAAGAGTCTGGCACGTTAAGAAGGGGGTTTCTTTTAAAAAAAGCGTAGAAAGCAGGATTTATCGAATTAAACTAACTTCACGCGGGCTTTTCAACTACACCCCGTCGTTTCATGAGTCAGATAACGGTTAGAAGCATAGAACCCATTGAATTTCACAGAAGGCCAATGTATAACAGCAAAGGTAATAGTTCACTGTAAATAATTATCAACTGAAGGAAATTACATTAAATCAGCCTATAGGGAGAAAGAGGGGAAAGGAGGTTGGCGCAAACCAAGTCGTGATTAAAACTAGCTACCCAATTACCAAGATAATTGGACATTAACAACGTGGTCTAGTTGCTTGCACAGGCCGGGTTTCTTCTGCGCTTCGAAGTAGCGCAGAGTCCGAGTTGTTCGTGCCCGAACAAGTACTCGGAAAGCTGTTTTGAGTTCGACCGATCGATCACCGTTAAGCAGGTGTTTAGTAATCGAAGATCGTGGTACTCTATCTTCTTGCTTCAAAAGCTAACTAGGCAAGTGTTCAGTGGCCCTGGCTGCCAGTTGCCTTGGCGTACGCCAAAAGTACTTGCATGCGCAAGTGCACTTGAAATCATAGATACAAGTTGGGGTGGCGTGCAACGGCAAGGCATTCTTGGCCCCCTTTTACCGGACTGATGAGGACAAGTTCAGCTGCGTTTTACGTTTTTTCTATGGTACAACGCAGCCGTCGCCAGATTGTATTGGAAATACTAACCCTGTTATACACTGGCATTCTGTGAAATTTAATCTACTGTATGTTTCTAACCGTTAGCTGTCTCATGCAACGACGGGATGCAGCTGAAAAGCCGCCACGATATTTGTTGAATTGGATTAATCCTGCTGTCTGCGCTTGTTTTAAATTCGTACCGGGGAACAATTGCTTCAAAGAGTGTTCTGTGAAAAAGAATATCCGAATTTAAGTTTTATCTGGCTGTTCCAATCTGAAGCCTGCAGTACATGACGTTGCTTTTCATGTCTTTTTGACATTCTAAAGACGAAAGCGTGGTAGCTGGGACGAGTTTATTCACCTGAGGTTTCAGATTCTCAGTCGAAACCATCACCAGAATCAGTCCCAATCGATTATCTAGGAAGCCTCACCAGTTAGAGATAGGTTAGGGTTTGAAAACCTTGACTAAGAAAGCCCATTAAACAACAGAGTTGGATAAACATTATAAGATCAAGCAGTAGCAACTGCAAGCGAGCCTTGAGCTACTGGTAACCATTTAATGCTATAAGCTGGTCCATTTCGGCAGCCCACTTCTGCTCACCCGAGGCGCCTTTGAAGGTTTTGTTGTGGTGGTGTTCTCCGTCTCCTGCTTGCCCAGATCGTTTGACTCCACAACCGACGATGACGGCAGCGGCGGTTTCGGCTCCGGAACTGCGATCTTCGGTGGAGGGATACTCTCGATTGGCTGAAGATGGAAAAAGCAAGTTGCTTTGGAGTAAGGTTACAGAACGATTCATTGACTCTGCATTAATTCAACCGCTTAGGGAACAATAAGCGGAAGGAGGGGAAAGCAGGCCAACAATTGCAAGTTCGCTGACTCGTTGATTAACGTTCACTGATCGCTGACGGAACTCGCTCGCCACCGGTCTGCCTTGGGTCTCATTCTCGAGCCCCGCAAGCAGCTGCATCGGGTTCGATCATCGGGTGGGGCACCATTTGAGGTTCGATATAACTGGCTGATGATGGCTAATGAGCCCGAAATGGCCATTCCAGTCTCCCTTATCTTGCTCTGCGCTGGCGGGCCTCGGGAGTAAGTCCCAAGGCAGAGAGGGACGAGTGAGTTCCATTAACTAGCAGTGAATGTTAATCAACGAGTGTCAATATCTCCCGATCTAAACTGGCAAGACAACAAGCCTATGGCTCAATGGTTTGCTGATGATGGCTAAGCAGCCAGAAATGTGAGCTTCGGTCACGGCACCTGACAACAGAGTGTTGCCCGGCAGTGACTGTGTGAACGAACTGGCTATTAAAAGACGTCGTTATCAATCTCCCCCCACGGCTAGCCAGATGTACAAATGTGTACATTTTATCCCCATTCAAACTCACACACTCCTTTACGGCTGAAGTTCACAGTTTTCGAGGGTACCCAGGGAAGTTAAGTCAGGCCAATTCCACTTCGCACCACAGCCTGTGCTTATGCATACGCCGAGGGTTGGACTCGTGATCCTGCTTCTACACTTCAGTTAATGTGCATATATAGTTATTCCACTGCAGACCAGCTGGAAGTCTTTGGATTAGAGCAGCAGCAGAGTTTGAGGATCAGGTGTCCAGTAGATCGAGTCCTATCTGGTATAGTACTGATCAGAAATAGTGGCAGCCAGGGTCCATTAGGACGATGAAAGCCATCAATAGTTACCGTTCTTGGGCCTCTGTTCGTTTTGCCTGTCACGGCAACAGAAATGAAGACCGAGCAAAAGAAAATATTCATCCCACCTGTCTTTTACTGATCATTCTAACGTTACTAACATTGGACGTAGTGGGAATAGCCAAAGTGGTAATAGTAGTAGTAGTAGTAATAGTATTATTAGTGGTAGTAGTTTTCACAGTAGTCGCAGTTGTAGTAGTAGTAGTAGTATGATTGGTAGTAATATAATCAATGCTATTAGAAGTGGTATCATTATTAGTTGTAGTTTGCGTAATAGCATTCGCAGTAGTGATAGTAGTCGTAGAGTTTATAGTAGCAGCTGCACTAAGAGTAGTAGTAGTAGTA